TATAGCTTTCTCTGTCTCCTAAAACAACTTACTTAGTGTAAAATAGATAAATACAAGGATCCTTTAAAATGTTTCTGGAAACATTTGTATTATCTTTCAATTCTATCCTTCCACGGACTTTTGAAAGTACCCTCATAAGTCCATGGTACTCCTACACTGCTTTTCCTTTTCTTTTTTTTTTTTGACATAATTATAATTTGACATTATAATAATTATATATTTGACATTATTATAATACAGACACTGTTATAAGTATGGTACATATATTATTAATTTATTATTTTTTTATTGAATCAAAATTGATTATACATATTTTGGGGGTTCACTATTGAGATATGTTGATCAAATCAATATTACTAGCATATATATTGTTACAAATTGTAATTATTCTTTATGCCCCTTGTCCAATCTCTCCCCATCCTCTTTTCTTTCCCCCTCCCCCCTCTAATTACCCTAGATTTCTTCTGTCCTTCTGGAAGAATAATGGTTACTCTGTTGATTTGTTGCCTAGATGATCTGTCCAGTGCTGAGAGGTGTGATCAGGTCCCACAATACTATCATAGAGCAGATGCTGCTTCTTTCACTATGAAATGGGCTTTGTGGAGAGAGGAGACCAGACCCCCCTCCTACAACCAGACACACCAGGCCAGCACCAAAGGGCATGCCCAGTGACCCGAGGCATGGACATCCTCTTCTTTTCTTTATCTCTGCTGGTGACTCTCCTGTGTCAATGCACTCCAGTGGTTGGTGGACCATCTGCATGGCGGTTGTGGCATCTAGCTGCTTTTGCAGTAGCCATGGTTATTGTGGCTGTGGTGGGCCACCCACATGGAGGTGATGTTTTTGGCATGCTTCTTGGCACTGGTGGTGTGCCTGGTTGTGGGATGTGTCTGGTCCCTGCCTCCAAGCCTCAGGTCCCTGAGTGGGGCCATGAAGCACTGGTGGTGTGCCTGGTTGTGGGTGGTGTTCCAGTCCCTGCCTGCATGCCTCGGGTCACTGGGCGGGCCATGAGGTGCTGGCATGGTGTGCCTGGTTGTGGGAGGGGGTTCTGGACCCTGGCTCCATGCTGCAGGCCCCTGGGTGGGGCCACAAGATGCTGGCAGTGTGCTTGGTTGTAGCTGGGGTGACCAGTCCTCAGCTCCATGCCTTGGGTCACCAGGCGGGCCATGAGGTGCTGATGTGGTGTGCCTGATTGTGGGAGGGAGGTCCAGTCCCCTTCTCCATGCCTTGGGTCACTGGGTGGGCCCCAAGGCTTTGGCACGGGTGTGCCTGGTTGTGGGAGGGGAGTCCAGTCTCCTTCTCCATGCTTTGGGCCCTTGGGTGGGCCCCAAGGCATTGGCACAGTGTGCCTGGCTATGGGAGTGGAGTCCAGTCCCCGGCTCCAAGACTCTGATTCCCAGGCAGGCTCCAAGGCACTGGTGGTGTGCCTGGGCCAGAACTAATTTTTTGTCCTTTGCTTACTTCTAAAATGGGGGAATTTCCTGTGGGAACCAGTACTTGAGCTGTGTGGTTGAGCTAAATTATTGCTTCGCTGCTGCTTCCCTACGGAAGGCTTTTTGTGCAGCTCAGGGTTTAATGGTTGACCTTATAGGTACATCCAGCTCTCCAGAGACTTGGTGCACCTGGGTTGTATAGAAACTTTGATCTGGGCCTGAGTTTTTCCATCAAACTGTACTCCATGCAATTCTGCATTCCCGACCAGTCTCCTCTGAGTGGTCCTGTGCTGATTGGGGGGCGGATCCGCTGTCCTTGCTGTGTCCCAGTGTTCTCCCAGTGGGCCCGTCTGCCCCACTGCCCATGCTCCAAACACTTCCCGTGGGACAGGCTCTGTATTGGTCCCTTGCGATGACTCACCAGCCTCTGGATGGCTCCCTTTTTTCAGTTGTTCTGGCTCCTTGCTCCTGCATAGGTCCATGGGAAACCTATTAGTGGTCTTGTTGTCCTGGGGACCGCCAAGACCCTCTTTTGTCCTGCTGCCTCCAAGTAATTCCATCTGAAGGGCTCAGCTGTGGCTTCTGCTGGCTCCTGCTCCATGTGCTCAGCAGCTCCAGGCTTAAAGTAGCCACAGCCCTAAACCCTCAGAGCATTTTTTCCTTTCTCTCATTGTGGTTTCTCCCGCCTTCATGAACTCCATAGTCTCTCCTCCTCTTCCCCTGAGCTCCAGTGGCCCCCACTTGGCTGTTGTTACATTTTTATAGTTGTAAATTGGTTGATTTGTGGGAGAGAATGAGGCTGTGAACCATCTATTCTGCTATCTTGACCAGAACCCTCCTACATGGCTTTTCATGTATCCTATTCGAAAATAATGATCTTAGGAAATTTATCTCCTACCAACACAGTATGGATGAATGAGAGAGTGTGTGTGTATCTGTATGTATTCCTGTTTTTTCTCTTTATTAGCTTACTTATTTTAATCTTTGCTACCTTTTTGTGAATTATAAATTTCATAGTATACCAGAAAACAGTTTAGAATGGTAAAGAGGGAAAAATGGCCTTGACAAATTAGTATATGGCTGGTTACTGACTGTGTCAGCTTCTACCTAATCAGAGTAGATTTTCTAGAAGAATGCACTTAAAATGTGTAAAGTGTGAGAGAGTGCTAAAAAGATAGTCAGAGGAAGGATTCATTTCAGTAGAGGACTGCATTCATCAGCTAGGACTGCCATGGACTAGGGCCTTAAACAACAGATATTTATTTCCTCACAGTCCTGGAGACTGGAAGTCTAAGATGAGGGTGTCAGGAGGGTTGTTTTCCTCTGAGGCCTCTCTCCTTGGTTGCTGATAATTCTCCTCCCTGTATGTGTCTGTGTCCTAATCTCTTCTTCTAAGGACAGAAGTCATATTATTAGGGCCTACCCCAATGACTTCTATTAGCCTTAATTACCTCTTTAAAGACCCTATCTCCAAATACAGTCACAGTCTAAGGTCCTGGGAGTTAGGACTTCAACATAGGAATTTTGAGGGGACACAATTCAGGCGCTAACAAGGAAATATAGCCTTGACTTGTATATTCACCTCATGTGAGTAACCATTAAGAGTTGGTTAGAAATAATGCTTAACATTTAGAAGTTACCAGCGAACCAGAACTGTAAATGACACACAGAAGATAAACATGGCAGGTGTCTCTGTGGTGCATTATGATGGGGATTTCCTCTAGTGGTCCTCATGGAACGTGTGACAAGGTTCTGCATTACATGGTATCAGAAAACAACTGTATGCTTAGGCTACTGGCCAAATCTATTCCAAACTTATCATCTGTTAGCTCTATAACCTGAGAATTATCAGTTGGGAACATCTATGCAGTAAACATTTATTTCAAAGGATGACACAAACATGGATAAAAATATTTGAATAAAATGTCAGGTACTATTGATATAACTCACTGCTCTGGGCATAGAAACTCTGTTGGGGAAGTTCTTCATCTCTAGGTTTCAGAGATTATTGAAGATATGACCAAATTCCCGTCACTCATCATTTTCTCTACTACATTTTTCCAAGACTCTGGGTTGCATCACTACAGAAATCATCCATGCATGCCTGGAGAATTCTAGGTTTCTTACTGTCTTGGTAGAAGCTCAGGCTACCGCAGAACGGGCTTTGGAGAATTGCCAAGTATGTAGAGACTTCTATGCATTCCCAAAACCACATAACAGGAGAGACATACTGTCAGATAGCTGCCAGTATAGACAAGAATGGTATTTTTCATAGAGGCACCATGAGAAAGTGAGCCTCTCTGAAAAGAAGTTTCATAGCTATTAGAATGGCAGCCTCTTTAGCAATCGCTGAAAGCTTGGTATGCCCTGATCAGTGATGCCTCTGATTTGACTTTTTGTGCAGTGTGCTGAAGATGAGGAAACCCGGGACCTGGTTAGGCTACACGGAGGACTTAAGCCCCTGGCCAATCTGCTCAATAACACTGACAATAAAGAACGGTTAGCTGCTGTCACAGGGGCCATATGGAAATGTTCCATCAGCAAAGAAAATGTGACCAAGTAAGAGAAGGCATTCAATGTTCTGCAATAAAGATATGGCCACCAAAACACAATCTATAATTTAATGCTATTTTAATAAGTAATTGATTCTAATGTTAGTCATAGATGTACGTTATGGGTTAAGTTGGCAGAATGAAGGGATTCTTAGAAGTGAAAGACCCCTCTCCCCACCCCACATCTTGGCAATGATTTTCTGTGCTTCAGAAGTGCTAAAGGGCTTGCTGAGTTGACCTTTCAATACAAATAGGCCATATGGGCAGCCATTTAAATTAGGAATAGCTCTGATTTTTCCTGCTGAGACCTTTCAAGGTGAGGGTGTGAATTTCCCATTGAATCTTTAGAGATGGAAGTGGTTCCATTCTTTTTTTTTTTTTTTTGAATTTTTATTTTGTCGATATACAATGTGGTTGATTATTATG